ACTCATGCAAAATTGCTAACACACAAAAATTGCTAACACAAAGCAAAATCTGTATAAGTTTCTAAACTACAACAAACCTGTTTCTAAATTCAAAAATATTTTACCCTGAGATGCCTTTACATAAAGCCTCACTAGGAAGTTCTAATTCTGCTTGGAGTTCACAGATGTGGGTAAGCCACTTCTCATTAAACTTTCTAGAATTCCAAGAACCCTTTGACATGCATTTTCAAACGTAAATATAAACATTGACTAGCTTGTGAAACTGTTTTATTTTACTCTGGAGGAGAAAAAGGATCAACCACAAAAGAAAGCAGCCAATTGGTTTTCTTCTTGTATGGTATACGCTTAATCCCATACAAACTAGTAGAATCTACTGTAATTAACCAGTTTGTGACTTCAGTTCTTTCGCTCAGTAGAAAAACATCAGGACTTCACTATTAATGACACATTTTTAGATCACATGCGTGAAGGAAGAGGAAACCGTGACAAAAAAAGCCCAGGAAAGTGTTGAGTATCTTTTTATTGAAAGACAACAAATACAAGCGAGCCATTAATAGTGGCAAAGATACAAGGGGGGTGGGGGGGATATCAATCAGCCTTTTCATGTTTTATTCATTTTTAAGTAAGAAAGTCTTACCCTCTTGTCCAGTTTTTGCCTTTACTAATATAACCAGACAACAGGCATTGCATATATCCACTTTCAGATTGCCACCTCAATTATTATTTCAGTTCCGACACACTGACAAACAACCCTAGCACTTATAAAGCTGGAATTTTCTGGTCTGCAAGCAGACAAAACAGATGCTCTAAGCCAGAGATACTCAATCTGTGGCCCACCCGGAAAATCCATCCTACCTGCAATCTACTCCTACCAGCTTTTTACCAGTAAGAAGTTGCCTATTGAGATATATGACGACAATGCAATATTGAGCGTATTGAATTTATGGAAAAGGTCCAGCCATGTTATTAGGTCCTTCTTGCCTTCAGAACAAGCTACATGCTCGACTCAGCCAAAATGCTGGATCTGTTTCCACACTGAGTATCTGTAGTAAATGCTTATTTGTAGCATGAACTTTCATCAAATATTAATTAAACTCTAATATAGGAAGAATTAATAAGTAGAGAAGCACAGCTTCTAAGCCTATTAGTTAAATAACAGGCATGTGTAACAGCACAGGAAAGTGTATGCTATGGAACTCTAAGATGTTAATTATTGTTCTTCTGTCAGGTGGTCCAGACAGGTTGTTGGGCAAGAGCTACAAATCACCTGTGAAAACTTCCAAATTTACCAAACACAAAGAGCTCTGAGATAATCTGCAAAGCACAGTATGTATCAGGAAGCAATACAGACACATTACGGTGGACAACAAACATACAGAATCATGTTTTGTTCAGACCATTATTTTTCTAAATTAGGACAGTCCAGTCTTATCAACCATAGAGCCCACTCCTTTTTGCAAGAGTCTCCTCACACATCGCTGTAAGCTTGCCATCTGCTTTCTAAGTGAGCAACCATAGGAAAGCAGAGAAGTCTCTTGTCTTTGGGAAGGAAAAAATGGTAGGTCAGATGGAATTATGCTTCAGGCTGAATATAATACTTCACAGGCTGCGAGACTAAACTAACCTAAAGTAGTGATTTAACCGACATGGATATGAACTCAGCTGTATTACTTACAGTCAACAACAATCCTTAAAAAATAATTGTATAAATATTTGTGTAATTAATCCAACCTTAAAACCATTCAGACATTTTTACTTATACAGCACAGTAAAATTTCCAGTGTACAAGAAGGGCTACATGATCAAACTTCAATCACATTTCAAGCACAATTCAGACTCGGATATCCTGTAAGATTAATCTACATTTTTTCACTTACTCCAACATCAAAACAGTCAGTTCTCTTAAATTTGTTTGCTCGTTACCTTCCTGTACCTGTCACTGTGCTCTGCACTTACTGAACAACTCTCTCTTTTTTTTTTTTTTTTTTAAACTTTTGGCCAGAAAGATAGCAAGTCTACCAGAACACATATACATGTATTTTAAGGCTTATATTAATATACCTATAAAAGCGTGTTTTAATCACTCATCATTTCTATGGAAGATAACCTTAAACAAGCAAATATTAATCTTTTAAAAAGTAGTTTTCTCATTATTATGCTCTCTTTGTACTCTCTTACTCCCCCACACTCTCTGGGGTATATATTCTGAAATTTCACGCATACCATAAAGTATCTTTGGAATGTTACAGTATAATTGTTTAGAGAAACATTTAATGGATGAGTAAGCATCAAGAGGCCATGGCTAAGGGAAAAGAAAAGTTAAAATGCTAGAAGCATTTTGTATTGAATGATCTTCTCAGCGTGAGGACAGGGGATGGACATTTGATCCAAAAATCTGGTATTGACTCAAGTGATATAAAACCAGCAGCCAGCACCGAGGCATATGAAGCCATCCAACCACCTAACAAAACATCTGCTACCACCCACCTCTTTCAAACTGGACTTCAGTCACTGTCTAGTAAAGCAATAAAATGCTATAGGATATTTTTTGCTTAATAACATGAATATTATGATAGGGGATTACATGATCTTGACAATAGGCTATTTTTTTTTAATTGGTTGCTTGGTTTCCCAATTTACAGCACAAATAATTTGCATGTGCATGATACAGAAATGCAACAGAAGTAACTGGAAAAAAAGCTGGGCACTGAGTATAGAGACAGCTAAAAAAAGCTGAACATTCTTTCACTACAGGAAACTGCTGGAGACAATATGCTGTAAATTAAAGCCAATTTTCCTGAATTCCCTGAAGGACTGCTCCTCCCAGAGATTCTACAAACCCACTAGCAAAGGTCCATCTTTATAGTTTTCTTGGGGCTTATTTACTGAAGAGAGTTTAAAAAAAAGCACATCCAAAATAAAATGTGTCGTGTATCGGGGGCAGGGGAGTGGGACAAATCAGGCCTAACCTTACATAATTGATTCATATCCTGATTATTAGAGAACAGCTGAGACGGTTTTTACTCCCAATTCCTCCCCCTCCCCATACTTTTTTAAGTCAAGGAAAAGCAAAATAATTACCTCCCTACCTGAATTTCTGATTAGAAGAATGGATACTGAGACAGGAGAGGTGCCATATGCTGACATGCACTGCTCTAGAAATCAAGCAGTTCTTTTAGCACCAGAGTTAGAAAAGCCAAGCTTCCTACAGACTTGTGTCACAGCTGAAGCTTGTCTTATGATTGGGCACCTAACATCTCTGTCCAAGTGGATTCTGTGGTGCTCAACAACATATGAATTGCAGCTGGTACAGTCTATCCTAGCCTCATACTTCCACAGAATTTTCAGAAACCTAGCATTTTTGAGGAACTTCTATTTCTGCATTTAATTTGGTAGACAACAGGTAACAAGTTAAAAAAAAATCATTAGGAACATATAAATAGTGTGATTCTATAAAACTCCTCTTGTTAATATACTCATGGACAAGTAACACAAGCTCTGCTATGCAGCCTTCTAGTTCCAAACCCAAAACATTTTCCAAAATTCCTCATCTATTTGTAAAATGTGTGAATCTAAATCATATGTAAAAATAATGGATTGCACATGCTGCTTGATTAAGGCTTTAAGAGATATTTGTAGGCACATAAGATTGCAAGGGACTTCCCAGGTCACTGCATTTGCATCCTACTATCAGAAACACTATATTAAATAATCTCTTCCAGATGACATATATCCCCATCTTAAAATGAGTTTCCTTTTTGCATACTCCCCCCTTAAATAATCTCAGAATTAGGATATTTCTTTTAATTTCCAGCTTAATTCATTAAAGACCCCATCCAGTGGCCACTTAGATGAAACACTTCAGATCGTGTAGGAGAATTTTTTACATCCTCAAGTTTTTCTTTCTCTTCACTTCAACAACACAGTGATCCAGATGTTGCTGTCAGGTAAATTCACTGTTTTGAATCCATAATTTTTTTCTAATGCCATACTCAAAGGCAAATCCAAATATTCCATGGGTAACTTTTTCTGTAACTACTTTCACTTGGTGAATTATAGGGAACCATAATACCACTGCTGATTTTAAAACAAGGTCTACAGATTACTTCTTGTGTTACAATGACCATACCAGAGCCTGTAAGTATGTCTTTGGGGGGTTAGGGTAACAGGGAACACAACACAGTTTACAATGAAGTCTAACAAACAAGGGTATGTTAATCTTTTCAGCCACTTAAATCCAGGAAAATCAAAAGCAAATGTCTTCCTACCATAGCATCACAAAAACCAGCCCCAAATACTTGCATCTTAATGCCTGCTGGGACGTTTTCTGCTAACCATCTATTAGATTTCTTATAATACTCAGTACACACATTCCCCCACAAGCTGGATTGATTTCTTCCACAGTTTAACTTGTTTTTGCCAAAGTCTCTTTTAGTTCAGCATTGGCTGCCTGCCTAACGAAACAACCTTTCTTTATGCCAAAACTGTCATCTTCAGTTGCACAAGACGCATCTTACTTACAAACATGTATAATGAGCCCAATGTTTAATGCTTGAAGAACTGCTATTTCAAAATGATCTCCAGCAAAACTTAAGCAGATACAGAAGCAGTCACTACCTAACCTTAGGGGGTTGGAAATCATTCTCAAGAAAGATTTTTTTTCCTTTTGTATTTAAATACACCTTTTAAAAAGAAAACCCTAAACTAATTATTAGGACATGAAAGCATATGCATTTAACCACAGAGAGCGGTGAGAAATGTAAGACTCACTCCGAACCTGAAGCTGAAAGCTTCATTCTCACTCAGTGTGAAGTCATCATTACATAATGATCACATGCACCATAAACTTGTCTCTTACTGAAAAGACTAGCCTTTAAATATAAGAATCTGATAAACTCAGTAAGTTATCAAGTATTGCTAACAACTGAAAAAATCCATCTAAATAAACCTCGTGGTCTATTCTTCTACTGTAATTTCAAGCATAGCTGAAACAAGACTACCTGTGTAAGAAGTTGCTCTTCAGTCAGATTATTGATCCAACGAGTATACCGTTCAGTAGACTCCAGTGGCTCTCTTCTGACTTGGCAACCAATAATCTAAAGCAAAATGAGATAAATCACATAGTGTAAGCTGCTGTACACCCACATGGCAGCAAAATTATAAAATAAGCATTCAAAACATGGGAACTCCAAGAATTAAGATTATCTATACAGTCCTTATATTATGACGTCATATGGTGTGGAATATCCCTTGGGTCAGTTGGGGTCAGCTGTCCCAGCTGTGTCCCTTCCCAAGTTCTTGTGCCCCCCCAGCCTGCTCGCTGGTGGGGTAGAGTGAGAAGCAGAAAAGGCCTTGACTGTGTGTAAGCACTGCTCAGCAGTAACAAAAACATCCCTGTGTTATCAACACTGTTTCCAGCACAAATCCAAAACACAGCCCCATACTAGCTACTATAAAAAAACCTAACTCTGTCCCAGCCAAAACCAGCACAACATAGAAGGGGGCTAATAATATAGTATAATATAATATGTCACAGTTGCTCTGCTCAAATGTTAAATAGTTACAGACTTTCAAAGGTCTCTAGAAAACTAACATTGAGAAGTGTCTTTCCAAAAGCTTCAGTCTTGGGAATATTTGAACCATATTGGTTGAAATTTTCAAAGGAAAGTCATCCAAAGGCAGACATCTAGAATGCAAAATTTCAACCAAAGTAGTTGAAGTTTGGCAAATGAAAATTAGAACTTGGATAGCACCAGACAATCGTACCAACAGTACCATCACCTATAATGCCAGACGTTACTTATAATTCATATAAAATAAGGAAAAAAAAAAAAATCTGTATTCTGATTTGTCTCATTCATGGTAGAACAATGTAGACACCCCATTTTGATTTGTTCACTGAAGTACTATGTACCTATTCGAGCAACATTTTCTTCTCTAATACTGTTCTGTAGCTGTACAGGTTAAATATGAATTATAATATTCTGAACACCTATTGGCATAATAAATAGCTTCCAATATGCATCAAAAACAGAATATTAGAGGGATTTCATATTATCTGTAACTGCATAGACACATATTAATGCAATTTCATACAAACACTAAACCGTTTACTCTACAAACCTCTAGTTAGAAAAGGAAGAAGCCAAGGAGAACCCCAGGAGTGTGACTACACAGGGCTCTGCTCTTCACTACTCCCAATGGTCTGCAGTCCACCCTAAACCTTCAGGGTACTACAGGACTTAATTATATATGCAAAGTAAGCTGATACTGTTTTATAGCAACTCCTGCACTCCTGTCATACTTTAACTGCCTATTTCTCTTCCAGATTTTGATGGGTACTTCCTGTTGAGGATGTGTTCATTCATTGAGAATTAACACCAAAGCGTAGGTATTAGCATTTCTGAACAGCGATTTCTGATAACCAAGTTCTGTTCAAGAACAGTGTGGAAAACTTACTTGGTTTATTTTCTACCCTAAGCATTCATAAGGAATGTAAGTGTATACACTGAGCACAGTAAGTTTAAATCTTTCAGGTTATCTCTATTTACAGAGCTTTAAACCCCACACAGATGTAAGTAGTCAGGCTAGAATTCTGCACATGCAGTTATGAATACTTTTGATGTGGAAACAAAAACACCACAAAGAGATCTTGCTGGGGGACTGCTGGCAATGAAACACCACGATTTAGAGTATGATTAAATACAATCAAAACAACAAACATGAAAAAAAAAAAAAATCAAGATTTGTTTTGAGCTTATCCCATAAGAATAAAACAGAATGTCTCTGTACTATGACAACTCAATGACAACTACTAATTACTATGGACAACTTCAATCCTTATCCTAACTTTCTCCTGAATTACAGCTAAGTAATACTAAGAAATTTTCAGAAGGTTAACCCAAAATTCTTTTAAATTGAATATCAATTAGAAGAGTCCACAGATGCGTTTTTAAAGGGGGCACTCCACAGATACAAAAACTTCACAGAAGTTGCATCAGATTTTCATATATTCTGTTCTGTTAGGATGATTTTTATTTAAGAACAGAATTATTTACAGAATTCTTGCTAGTATTCATTAACCAAGACAGACTGTCTTCTCTTGCATATCCCTAGGATTTTATAACTTACAAAGACACTTTACAAAACTACGCATGAAAGTCAGAATGGAAAAATTACAAAGCACTTTGTTCTCAAACGGTATTCTATAACAATACAATATGGAAACTTAGTTTCTTTATTCAAATAGTCACAGCCTAAGCTGAACAAATACAGAATCACAAACAGCTTTCATGAGGTAAAAGGATAAAAAGGAGAATCTCAAATTTGTTTTTCTGAAAACATGGTTTTCAATTAGAGTCAAGTAGTAAGTGCAGTCATCTCTTTCTATGCAATTTGAAATTTAAATGAGAAGCGGAGGACAGAGTTTCGTATTTTATATTAATTTTTGACCAGTCTGATCATTTTCATAAATGCTGTTGATAGTTTAAGCAATCTAAACAAAATGTTGAATCCGGGTGCTCAGCTAAAAAGGACTGTAATACCCTAAAGTCCAAAGAGCAATTGGTTCAAATCTCAACTCCTTATGCTTCCAGAGAAAACTGAATGCATTTGATCAATTATCTGTACATACACTCAAGGAGAGGTGAAGGCAGACAGAATAACTGTTATTAAATTGGATCCTGACGGCTCTGTTCTGTATCATACATCACTTTTTGTAATTTCTAGAGTTTGACTTAGATTCTTAGCCAAAATTTCCTCCTCTTTCCATATAGATAATTCCATTGCATGCTCCAATTTACCTCTCTGAATTTTGGCTTGCAACAATGATTCTGTACTTACTGTATGTAGGCCTTAAAATACTTTGAGCCTTTTGGAATTGAAAACACCATAATTGGGAAAAAAATACTTACCAAATAAACAAGTTATTTAGGAATTACTGTTATTGCAGTGAAGTAACAGCAGAAAAAACAATGGGTTATATTGAATTTCACCATAATTTGGGGCAGAATCCTTGGAAGTGCAACTTTCCAAACTCCTTCATCAACTGACATGCCTAACAGCAAGACAAGAGTGAGAGGATAACCATCTAGAGCCTTATATACAAACACACTAATCAAATAAAAAACTAGGGTTTAAAAGACATATATTCTTTTGTACACAGCAATTTTGTTTTCTACAGCAAAGCTCAACCTAATGTTTAGAAGAACAGTAAAACCAGTATAAGACATTAATCTAGAAAAATATATAAAGAAATACAGCAGAAAGTAATAGGATTGGCCTCTGACTTTTAAGAGTCAGATGTAGAGTAACTTGATGTTTCAAGAATTAAATTACATTTTTTACCTAGTTCAATGAAAATTTAGAATAATCATTAGGGGAACTCTTCTATTGTTGTGACTCAAAGTCCCTTTAGCAGCACACTAAACACCTAAAGGTTCATGGCACTGAGTCTAAATGTAGTTTTACTAGGATTGATGGCAAAGGGTTTGAACAACAAGCTATCTCCAGAGCAATGGATTTCACTTCCATGACTAAACAGTACACAGCTGATGACTCTTGCTCCTTGAATTTTCAAAATAAGAGTCCAAAAACCTCCATTCTTTAATCACTAACAAAGCTAGAAGCAAGTGTTATGATGACCTATTCTAATATTAATGAACACTAAAAGGAAGAACAGTAAAGCCAATGCTGAGAATTAGTGTGAGAAAGAAAAGCTGCTTGCTGGAAAAAAGAGACGACAATTCAAAACGTAACTTAGAAAAACAAAATTTTCTGAGACTCCACATGCTTACTAATGTCCTCATTTCTCTAAATGATATTTAGTATGTAATACCTTCTCCCCTGTACCTTTGTTTGTTCTTACTCTTTTGTTGTTTGAGCTCTAGAAGGCAGGCATTATTGATGAATGAAATGGCTCCAATGAGGTTAATATAAAGATGAGGTTAAGATTTCACTCTAATTCCTCCTTCCTTACACACTGAATAGGATCATTAACTAGACAATAAAATATCATAACACATACTTAGCAATCCTATGCTTGTTTCATATATGGAATGAGAGGAAAGAGGGATTAATATACTTAAAACTTTACTAAAATGTCCTCCATAGTAGTGGCTTTAAGTTTGCTTTTTCTTAAATTACCTAAACGTGCTATCTACACACACAACAGAAGTATTTATTTCCAGACAGCTTTCTAATTATTCCTAAAATCTATTTGCTCACAAGCAAATTGAATTGCTGTCTTCACTCCTCCTCCTCATCCAAAAAAACAAACCGACAACAACCACCTGACAATTCCTTTCTTTAAAAGCAAAGGAACAAAAAAGCTACAGTTGGTGTTCTCAGTGGCCTTTCGTAAGATTTCCATGGATGTACCAAACCCATCAGCAGGGCACATAAAAGCAAGGATTTCCCTCCTGCAGAAGATGGTATTGTAAAACATCACTTAACCACGTTCTTTAATTATAATGATATCACAGCAAAATACACTTAACAATATAAATGCATGTTATTGAGAACAGCTGCATTTTGATCTTGCAACACAGCAGGAAAATAACTACAAATGCATAACAAAGTTAGCATTTTGTAAGAAGTGAAATGTTCACACTTCCCTCTACCCTAACATAACAGTGAAATGTTTTGCACAGCACACAGACTTCCTGCTTTCTTTTCATTTTCAGAACCAGTACCACTCAAGAATGCTTTTAGCATCATCTTGAGACATGTTTTCAAACAAATCTTAAAATTGTCGCTATGCAATCAAATTTATTTCTAGATCCTCAGCCAAAAAAATTCCACAACTTTCTGCTCTTTAGCTGTACCATTCCTCTCCCAGTGGGACTCTGACTCGTGACTGGGATTCTTGACTTACATGGTTGCAAGATAAACATCACCAACATAGAGTAACTCAGCCTGAGCCTTTGATACAGCTTCTGTAAAGCACAGCTCATTTAACCAGCTTCTTTCATCCAATCAAAATCAGGATTATTTAGAGTACAAATGACTTCCTCTAGTTCCCCTGCGTAAGGTGTGGCATCAGAAGCAACTGCACACTGTTTCCCATTTCCTCCATGTCTCACAGAGCTTTTATATT